GACTAGCCGCACAGTATTGAAGAACATTAGTTATACTAGGACGAAGCTCTAATAAAAAATCCAGCTACCCTGTCAAGCGAACCAGACGCATGCTATCTCGCAGTCGCTTCTGTGCAGCTGGTGTCCTTGCCTGTGCTTGATCATATAGGATATGGTCAGGGACATTAAGTCAAGGTCTATAGATATCAGTTACCTACAACCTAACCTACTCTTTGGCTGGGGTTTGGGCAAAGAGGTCATAAAGGATGAGGAGATCCTGGTAATAAAATGTGGGGTTATTCTGAACAAGCATGAAAATTGGGAATCTGAGACAGTTGCATGTATGGAGCTTCAGAAATCGGCCTTGAGATAGAGTGTAATTCGGAGAGTTGTGAAAGAAAAATATATTGAGTACGTGTTTTACTTTAGTGATCTGATCGGAAAGTTACAGATCTCCGGCTCATCTCTAGAGTCAGTGAAGTAGGCAAGGACGAGGCTCTGGTTAACACGGAAGGTGCCCAGACTTTTCTCTTTGAGGTTCCTGTCCGTACGTTAGCTAACAAAAAAAGTTCAGCAAATTTGCAGTCTTTCCAACCGATCAGTGTTTGATTACTTCACATCTCAGCATGTAATCTGGATTCTATCCACATTTAATCAACATCCAATCAACATTATTGAACATTTAATCAGTATTCAGTCGACATTCAACCAATATATAGCCATTTGAAGTTACTCGAAAGCTCCAGTCAGAGTCAGTCAGCCTTAAGTTACTCTTATTTGCATCAGATTAATTTCAGTTCAAAAAAAAAAAAAAAAAAAAAAGCAAATACAAACATTGGTTCAAGTGCCCGATTCAACACATGAGTACAATGATCCAGCTATTCTAAGTCTAGGAGGCTGTCCTGACAAGTCTCAATCAGATCGCTTCCCGAGATGCCTTCCAGCATCGGCACGTCAGTGCAACTGGCTTCAAGCAAGGTGAACTATCTATCTTTATGGTTCATACTGAGTTTGCAGGAGGTATCATTCATGACTTAAGGATTTACTTCAAGAACGACAAAGAAACACATGAGCACTTTGAATCAGTCTGGATCTCGGCGGCCAAATACCTTAAGGGAAAAAAAAAAGCTTGATGAGGGCGGTATCAAACTAATTCGCAGCTTCGCACCGAAGTTCTACAAAGACTACCCTAAGCCTCCAGTTCCCTTAACTCTCACTGACGGGTCATACTGGGGTGATTTGGTGGATTTGGTAAAGAGGTACATCTCGCCGGCAATGGTTGATTACGAGGCAGTGACCGAACCCTCAGAGTTTCACAATCTCAGACGAGGGGTTTTCTCTCAGCCATATCTTCCTACTCTATGGGAGGCGTTTTGCGCTATGGTTGACTTCCGTATTATGGCCCTCGGGTGGAAGTGTTCGGAACGTCAGGTCTTAGGTGGGTCTATATCTAGAGACCACAATCTCAGGGAGTACGTGGACACAACTCAAGGCACAAGAAACATGCAGCCAAGTGAGAGATTGAGTGTATGACGCAGAGGGATGAGTGAGGACTCTTGACTAGTGTTGGTCATGCTCTCTTCATGTGTACTCTCTAAGATTATTATGAATTCTCATTCTTCCCTCGCTTATCTTGTCGTTTCTCGAGTCTATCAGTCTTGCTTCGTTTGCATTGACCCTGCTTGATGATTTCATTCTCTGATGATCCTGTTACAGTGCTCAAAATTTGTAAAATGACAAAATTGGTGCATGCATGACATATCAGAATTCTATGATTATTATTTGCATGATTCTCTGCTGTTCTGAATCAAAATAAAAGATTCCTAAGACCGGGGACCGACGAAAATCGTAATTGAAGGGTATGGCTTGAAGTCGGACGCATACATAAGGAAGGGATTTACTTTAATTAAATTTATTTATTTATTACAAATATCATTCAAAATCTTGTGTGACAGGCTGTTGGTTTTCTGATCGCTCGAAGGGGCTCGACTGAAAAAAGTGCGACAAAAATGACGTCGTTGCCGGGGACATGAAAATTTTTCGTGTCTGGAGTGAGCCTGGGTCAGTAACAATTTTTAGCTTTGATTATGATATGAGAATTGTTGACAATGTCTGAATTTTTATATTGACTTTAACATCTTGAGTGAGTCATTATTTTACTGGAAGTTTTCAGTCGCTAACTGGGTCTTATCGCCTCATGTGTGAGGTACCACACTGGACCAGAGAGGGAGACTAACGTTTTTCGTTGGAGAGGATCAGGCTTGATCACAAATCTGCCTTATGAGCCCTTGATGTCCTTAAAGAACTGAGAAAGAAGAGAACAAGTCAGAGGGTAAGAGATTCCAACAAGAATGTTAACTGCCGATTCACTGAAAGAGCTCTCAAATTGGCTATTAAAGGGGTGTTTCCCTATCAGTATGAGCATTGTTGGGTTTACCACTCTGACGGTTCGACCATTTGTGTAGTACTGGCTCACTTCTTTGAGGGAGATATCTATGATATTCGCCCTACATCAAGAAGGGAGGCTGAAACGGTGGTGAGGCTTTTAACTGGTTGTAAGAAATTTTTGTTCAATCTATCTTTGACGAAAAGACAGATCTAATCAAACGAAAGAAGAAAATAGAATGGGGGTTAATGCCTGTAACCTTTGAAACAGTTCCAAACTCCTCCTATTTTTCCGAGTTATTGTAACGGAAGTAATTGGTCGCCAATAGTTAACATGCTACTTAGATGGAAGAAATGAGAAGACTGTCATGAAAACAAGAGAGACTTCAACAGACGAAATCAGACAAAGAAGATTGGAATTGGGCAGAGGTTCAGGTCCGAGCAAGGAAAAAGTTGAGTGTCTCCTCAGATCACTGAATACTTTAAGTGAGAGAGAAGTGTTCTCATACAAAATTGTCGAATATGAGATGGTCGAGAGTGGATGTGAGTAGAAACGATTCTATGTCCTAACATTCTACTTTAAAGATTTGGACACATATGATGTAAGAATTTATGTTCCTAAAGAAATGAGTGTTGATGCTATGTATGGGAGATGTTGGGGATTTGCCTAAGAAGTTGTGTTGAAAGAGAAAGAGAGACTCGAGAGAGAAAATAGGTGTTTCATTCGATCTACTCAGTTAGCAGTCTTTGAGGGATTTCCAGTTCCTCCTTTGCCAGATATCCTGTCAAGGAATAACTGGTCAGCTATGATAGATTTTGTATGGAAGGTGAAGAAAGCTCAAGAAGAATACTATCGGCAACAAGAATAACTATTGTGAGAGGTAGACTTTCTGAAGTAATTGGATCTAATAATCCTGAGATATGAGATTTGTGTCAGAGAGCGAATAATATTTCACATTCCAGCAGTCAAGTTCTTGAACACCGGAAGCCTGGACGTGAGAATTTACGTTCCAGCATGCCTAGGAAAAAAAAATTATTATTCGAAATGTCGGTTGGGAACTTATATTTCTCTTATAAGGACAAAAAAGTGGCTAGAAAAATTACAGAGGAAAGTAACTTGGGGAGAAGGAATAAGGCAATTTGAGAGACTCCCTAGTTTTTTAACTACTGATGGTTTTGACGACAGGAGAGACTGGTCGCCTCTTCTGGAAACCATTGTCATAGTAGGTAATGTAAGGAAAAATGACTCCATGGTGATGATAAAGTCCCTACTCTTAAATACTTTTGAACACCAGTTCGAGTTCCTAGACTATATTCATAATGAGATCATCCTCTTCTGACACTGTTCATGATGGTCGATAATGCCTGGTACGGTTGAGCATCTAACATTCGGGGTTGTATTGGAAAATAGAGTTGTTAAGACAGAAGAGACTCTTCGGATCTCAGACATAAACCTTTCTACTTTAGATGAGTTTGAGTTTCTGCAACCTTTCTTTGATCGGATGAGAAATTCTGCTTTGAGAGTCGTCACTGACCAGACTGGGATCTACTACTTACTGAAGGTAGTAAAAGTGAGAATTACTGAGAGAATATCATATCACTGTTCTAGAGAACGAGTCTCTTTCGCCAGAAGAATCAACAACGGTTTGTAAGCCATGCAATTTAACTATGAGATTATAGACCTGACATGATCAATGGTCTGTAAAAGGGTATAACAAAAGATTGAGTAAGGATGATGAAAGGAAAATGATTGGAGATTATATCGGAAGACTGAGAAGAATTGCGTTGCCTTTGATCACCACCCAGTCTATTATTGCCTACACTCTCTATGTACAAAACTTTCAAGGGGTAGAGCAAACAAGGTAAGGGAGAAACAAATCTTTAAGAGATTGAAAAATAAGAAAGAGGAGGACAAAAGTGACACGAAGAGAGATTAGTGAGTATGAGAGAAAGTTTATGATCAAAATGGCAGGGCGAGGGAGACCTAGTTCTTTTGCAGGAACTAGTGATAGATGTTATAAGAGAGCTTATCAAGAGAGTTGACACAATAAACGGAGGGTCAGATATTGCAAGAGCAAAGATGTCAGATGAGAGGATTCATTGCTTCAGAGGGCCTCAAGTAAATGATTTCTTGGATGAGTATGAATTATTCGGCTTCAGTTATGGTTGGATAGACAAACCGCGACTCAAGCACCTTTTGTCTTATTGTGATACTGATTCGAGGTTGGTTGTTCAAGAGTTGATGGAAGGGGCTACAACATGGGAAGAAGTCAAAGAGAGGATGGAAAGAAAATTTGAGAAAGACTCTGTTTCAACCACTACCAAGGATCTACTCAACATCAGAAGAGTTAAGTATGACACCTTCAATGTCTTCCTTCAAACTTTCATCAGGACAGCCAGGAGAATCCCATATTTGGATGAGGATCAAAGATGTCATATCTTCCTGATTAATTTTACAGATAATGAGAGACAGATTGTTCTCAATCAAGCTCAACACTACCCTCTCAGATGGGATGAAATGGTGGCAATAGTCAAAATGCTGCTTACGGTCTCACACAAGAAGCGGTCACTGGATCAGATCAATACAGTGACTAAGGACTGGGAGACCGGGAACGGTATGAGCAAAGGGAATAATTTGAGTGCAGAAAATTTTATTCAATGAGTTATGGCCAATTACATTCCTGCTAACCATGTCGCTCATGAAAAAGGGAAGAAGAAGGTTGAAAGCGAAGATGAAGATGAAGATGATGATGATGATGATGATGATGATGACTATGATAAGAGAGGAGACTCCTCGAGGTTAAGAAAGAACATACGGAATGGTGGAAAAGAGAACATGGCTGGCGAGACGACGTGGTTGTAGGCTATCTCCGCATGGGCAAGATGGAGATCCCACTGCTGGTCGTCACGAACAATCTTTCGGAGAATATCTCCGAGAGTCCTGTTCGTGATCTCGGTCTGACCATCAGTCTGAGGATGGTAAGACGAGGAGAAGTGGAGCTGAGTGTCATACACCTCATGGAGCCGTCCCCTGAATCGCCTGGTAAAGCGAGGGTCACGGTCATATATGATGCTCGGAGGTAAGTCGTGGTCACGCACGACTCGGTCAAACACGATGTCGACGACCTCACGTGCACTGATGGCATAGCGGCACGGAACTAAGCGTGCACGCTTCGTGAAGCGGTCGACGATGACAGGGATCGCATCATGACCGCGTGGGGTCGGTGGACGAAGAGGACCGATAAAGTCCATCGAGATGGATTGCCAACGACCCTCAGGGATAGGAAGAGGCTGGAGCAAACCATAAGGCAGGTGGTTCGCACTGTTCACCTCCTGACAGGTGGGACACTCTGCAACGTAGTCCTTCACAAAGTCCTTGCGCTTCGGCCAGACGTACACGCGGCTCACACGAGCCAACGTCTTGTGGAAGCCCATATGACTGGCGGGCGCCTGGTCATGGAACTCTGCTACTGCTCGGACACGTAGCTGTCCAGTGGACGGAACGCAAATACGGGGCTCTCTGGTGCCCTGTGAACCGTGCCAGTACACAAGACCGTTGTCCCCGAGAGAGTARTTCGGGACGGTYTTGCCACTCCGAAGGGTCGCGTGGATGYCRCRATAGTCGGGGCAGTGGCGGTACTGAGTGCGAAACTCGTCGATCACCGAGTGGTGGACGGTGGTGACCGAGATGGAAGAGAGCTGGATGTGCTCCTGGTCGTGGTCAGGGCACCGGAATAAGGCATCTGCGACCCAATTAGTCTCATCCTTGATGTGCTCAGTGGTGAAACTAAACTCGGATAGGTCGCGCCACCAGTGAGCCTGTCGAGGAGTGAGCTTCGACTTTGTCAGAAAAGCGTGGACAAAAGAGTTGTCTGTGCGCACCGTGAAAGGTGCCCCGCGCAGGTAGTGACGCCAGTGCCGAGCAACATAAACTACTGTGAGAACCTCACATTCATCAGTAGTGTAGTTTATCTCGGCGAGTAGGAGTTGACGGGAGTAGAAGGCTATCAGACAATCACCTAAGCGAGACTCAACAGTGCCGTCCTCGGTGATGATAGGAGAATAGTCAATAGAAGGCTCGTCAGTAGCTGGACGAGTAGGCGTCAGTCGGGAAGCAGTGGTAGGGGTAGGTGGTGGGAAGTGAGGGATACGAGGATGAGAGAAATCAGGAGAGGAGGGGAAGATTTGAGAAAGCACCGCTCCTACAGCAAAGTCTGATACATCGGTGGTAAGGATAAAAGGGCGATCAAAATCGGGTAGGTGAAGAACCGGTGCTCATGTCACCGCCTTCTTGAGGGCGCGGAAGGCGTCCTCGTGGAGGGGTGTCCAAGCCCAGGGTGGGTTCTTCCGGAGGAGGGTGGAGGTAAGGACGTAGGAATACCTAGCGTATCCCCGAATGAAATTACTATAGTAGCTGGTCAGGCCTAGGAAGCTGCGAAGCTGCTTGGCGGATGTGGAAGCGGGCCACTCCGCAATAGCAGTGATCTTCGCGTCGTCCATGTGGAGACCCTGGTTAGACACGTAGTGTCCTAAGAAATCCACTTTGTGCTGGGCAAAGCGGCACTTGCTCAGCTTGATGTAGAAGCCATGTCTGCGCAAGCGGTCAAGGACGTGGTGGAGGTGTCTGAGGTGCTCCTCAAGGGTACGACTGTAGACCAGGATATCATCGAGGTAGACGAGAACGTACCGCTCCAGGATGTCCCTGAAGATGTCGTTCATCGCCCTCTGAAAGGTAGTGGGTGCGTTGGTAAGACCGAATGGCATCACCGTGAACTCGTAGTGGCCGAAGCGCGATCGGAACACTGTCTTCGGCTGGTCGGCTGTAGCGACGCGGATCTGATGGTAACCGCTACGAAGATCAATCTTCATAAAGAAGCGGTTGCCTGCTAGGCGGTCGAACAGCTCGTCGGAACGAGGCATGGGGTAGTTGTTCTTAACCGTGTAGCGGTTGAGACTGCGATAGTCAATGCAAAGACGGAGAGTTCCATCCATTTTGCGAGCAAAGAGGACGGGTGCACCCCACGGGGAGTTGCTGGGTTTAATGAAACCCAGTCTCAGGAGTTCCTCAAGCTGACGCTTGAGTTCAGTAGCCTCGGGGATCGAGAGTCTGTAGGGTGCCTGGTGGTGAACTCAATAGTCAGGTACAAGCTGGATGGAGTGTTTGACGTCGCACATCGGTGGGATGTCGGCGTACGAGAACGACGATGGAAAAACGTCGTGGTACTCTCGAATGAGGTCACGAACTGCAGGCTCCATTTTAGCCGTATATCGTGCGAGTTTCTCAGCGTCAGCGTGAGCGCGCGACGGCGGGGTGGACTCGACGGATGGCAGAGGGACGGAAGTAGAGATGGGAGCCATGGAGATAGAAGGAGGATCTGGCTCCAGAGGGATGAGCTCGGCGTCGGGACAGGGTGGATCATAGGGTAAGAGATCCATCACGTTCACCATACAGAAGATGACGTCGTCCTGTCGGATGAAGTGGGCGAATTGCCGAGGCGAGGTGACAGTGATAGAAGGAGATGGTGTGGGCACGGAAGGCTCCGGGGGAGGAGGATCGGGGCGTGGTGTCGCAGTGGTACCTATAAAAGGTACGCGATACGTCTGTCAACACTTTGTTTTGAGAACGAGAGTGTTGGTCGCCTAATCTGCCATGGTGCTGCTGAACCGACGAGACCACGGAATGCCGGGAATGAAGTCGTACCCCGTCTCCATCACATCGAAATGTGCAGAGGAGCGGTGGCGACGAGACGCCGGAGGGACAATCAGTCGGCTCGAGAGTGAGGAAGAAAGGGAGGTCGGTGACCGTCTGATCGAAGAAGCGCTGGGTCTTGTCATCCCCTAGGGTGACAGAGATGGGAGTCAGAGACCTGGTCGTGGGTAAGCGGGATTCTTTCACCACACGTGGGTGAATGAAGTCGCTCTGAGAACCGGAATCCTACAACGCTGAGTACACCCTCGTGGAGGTCCCCAGTCGTACGGGCATGATCGGGAGGGTGCGATCAAGGTCAGAGAGGATGGTAAGAAGGCGATGCAGGGCAGCGACATGGAGGGTGAGTCGCTCCTGACGAGCGTGGAGCATGCTCAAGTCCAGAAGAGATGACAACGTCCTCGCGAGTAGCGAACTGCTCGCTGCAACGGGCTGAGCGAATGGCTCGACGCGTCGGTAGTCGCGGCGGGGAAGGAGGGGAGACGGTGGTCTTCAGAGGCGCAGAAAGTACTGCGACAGAGGGCTGAGTACACTCTGTCGAGTCTTGCGATACCTCAACTCAAGTAGCGAGAGGGGCGAACCGAGATGGAGATGTCGGGAAACCCACTACTGAGGAGGGCGCAGGTGTACACTGCACCGTGGTTAGGAGGCGTCGTGGGGATGTGAGGCGTCGGGGGGGGACTGAGCACGACGCTGGCGGGAGAGGTTAACGTAGTGGCGGTCAAGGGCGGTGGTATAAGGGCATCGCGAGAAGGGACAAAACCCTGAGGGAGGTCCTCCTGAGGGACCTCGGGGGGCGACGCGCCATTGTGACCGGGGCGGCTGCGTGCCCGAGGAAGGGTGGAGAGGATGAGCTAGAGGCGCTCAGCCATACGGAGAGTTGGGTGCTCCAGGTGGTGGTGGACGACCTCGCCGAGGTCGAGGTCCGTGCTATGGTCACCCTCTGGTGACAGCAGGGCACCAGCGTCCTGCTCACCATACTCGAGCGCGCTGAAGCGGCGCAAGAAGTGGCCGCCCTGCTGCGTGGAACGGCGGGGACGACCGCGGAAAGGGGAACGGCGCTGGAAAGTGCCGTGAGAGGAGGAGGAGGCGTAACCAGTACCCTTGGACTGGGAGAAGGAGGCGGGGTGACGACGGGCCCGCATCCGCTGATGGTCTCTGGCGGCCTCATAAACCTGCAGGGCCGATGTGAACTCGTACCGCCATAACTCGGAGCGGTACTCGAGCGGGAGGCTGGCCAAGAAACGATCGATAAGGGCAGCCTCGGGGAGGAACGCCACGTTACAAACGAGGCGGGCGTCCTGAAAGACCTGGATGTGGCGATCCAGGCCGGCAGCGCTAACAGAGCCGGACCAGCGTGTAGTATCGACACGCTCGAAGGCGTGAGTCACGTCGTATCAAGCTCCGAAGCGATCCTCGAGGAACGCCTGGAAATCCATGAAGGTCGGGGTTTGACCCTCACGAAGAGCGTACGCGTAGAAATCCTCCCAGGCCTCGAAAGGACCGCCACGTAGGCGCGTGGAGAGGTGACCCACCCACGTGTCGGGTGTGGCGCCCATGAGCTGGAGCATGCGGGTGGCAGACTGCAGCCACCTAGACACGCGTATGCCTGTACCGTCATACAAGGCAATGTCCAACAAGCGGATGAGTGGTGCGCCACCGTTTGGGCGGCGAGGGGATCGAGGAGCAGAGGCCTGTGCCGCGGCTGAGTGAGTCGGCGCAGGTCCTGGAGAAGGGGGCGCAGCTGACTGTGCGCCCGGGCCGCATGGGGGAGCAGCAGGGGCAACTATGGCAGGTTGCGAGGGAGTTGCGGTAGAAGAGGTCGCTGCAACCACGAGAGTAGGAAGAAGGTAGGATGGGGCTGGGTAGGGTGCAGGGCACGGGAAGCGAGCCTGCATGGGAGGAAAAGTAGAGGAGGTAGGGGGTGCGCCGGAAGGCGCGGCCACCTGTGAGGGTGGGGGTGGCTGAAGGCGTAAGAGGGTGAGCTCGGCCCGGAGCTGGGCAATCTCGTCCGCGAGACCTCGAACGTAGGTCGAGCGAGGAGTGGCAGGGGGAAGAGTGGAGGAAGTGGATGCACAAGCGGCGCGGGGCATCCCTGAGGGGGGAGAGCCAGGTGGCGCTGCGGTCGTGCGAAGGGAAGGGAGAAGAGGGGCACCCAGAAAAGTTGAGACCATGGTAGCGGGTTGTGGTCCTGTGGCCGTCGTGACCGGAATCGGGGCGGGTGCGCCCGTGGACTGAGGGAGGGCCTGGCTCGCGGCGGTCGTCGTGCTAGGGGCGTGGGCAGTCACCAATATGGCCGGGTCGGGGGCGGCAGAGGAGGAAGCTCCATCGTGGCCACCCTGTCCGAGAACTGGGGACCCGGACCGGGAGCCAGGAGATGAAGGACACACAGCGTCCTGGAGTTGCTGCATGCCGGCGGCAAGGGTCGTCACCTGCGCCTGTAAGGGCGCGAGGGTCGCGAGTTGCGCCTGGATGGGCGCGAGGAGGGAGGTGAGGAGGGTGTGCAGATCCCCCTGGGGCTGGTGACCCTGGTCCGCCGACACGGGTGTGGAGCCCGATGCCGTGGTCGTCGCCTCGTCGGAGGCGTGTGACACATCGTCGGCCATGGGGAGGTGACGGGCCGGACTGGAGGGGGCCAGAAGAGGTCCGTGTGAACGGAGGGCATAAGGGGAGGTCCGTGGTAGAAGGCGGCGGGCGGCGCTAGCAAGGCTGGCGCGGGCACCGTCAAAGGGGGAAGGGTGGTTCGGGTCCAGGGTGCCCGAATAGGAAGGGGGAGTAGGGGGGGGTTTGAAGAACCCCAAACCCTAGAAAAACCCTAAGAACACCCTAACCGGAGTTTGAATGGTTAGGGTATGGTGCCGGTGACCTAATCAAGAAAATAAAATAGCAAGCATAGGGGGGGGAAAGGCGGGAGAAAAATAAATAAACAGCGAGATTTCGAGAGAAAATAGAAATAAATAAGGACATAAATAAATAATAAAAATAATTAAAGAAATAAGTAAAAAGATGTGAAGGGAAAAAAAATATTTATTTATTTTTTTGAAATTTTCGGCAGCATTTCCCTACCCCCACGGGGTCAAGAATGTGCCAAGGGGAAAGGAGAGACCAAGGGGAGCACACTAGGTGTCAAGATGCCGCAAATAAAAAAGAGATTTCAGAAAATAAATAAATAAATAAATAAATAAATAAGTAAGTAAGGGGATGAGGAGGTGGGGAGGAATGAAGTATCTGATTTGTCAAAAATTTCGGCAGCACTTCGTTACCCCCATGGGGTCGAAGTGTGCCGAGAAGACTAAGTAAGGGAAAATCAGAAAATTTCGGCAGCACTTCGTTACCCCCACGGGGTCAAAACGTGTGCCGAAAGCAAGAAAGACTAGCATCTAATCAGATTTAGGGTTGCCGTAAACAAAATCGAATTTTTAGAACAAATAGAAAAATAAATAAAATAAATCAGAAAATGAGAAAAGAAGGTGGGAAAGAAGATATTTCGAGTTTTTGAAAAAAGAAAAAATATAAATAAAAAGGGAGATAAAAAAAAGAAAAACAGAAAAATTCGAAGTAGGGGGGGAAGGGGGGATGAAAAAGTGATCGAGAGAAGAAAGAAATAGGTGGGAGAGGAAAAAGATGGAAGTGGAAGGTGGGGGGATGATTGGTGGCAATTGGGGAGAGGAGGGTGAGAGAATGGGAGAGAAAGAGGATGGGAAAGATGGAGAGTGATCAAGAAACTAAGAGGAAAGAAGGAGGAGAGAAAAGAAAAGAAATGAAGAAAAGAGGGTAAGATAGTGGTTAGTGGGAGAAAAGGTGGGGTGGGGAAGGTAAAAAGAGGAGGGGAGAGAGGCAGTGGAAGGTGGGGGAAAGAAAGGGGGAGAGAGAGATGATACCTGGCCCTTGGTGTCTCCAAGGGCACAAGGTATACCAAGACCTGGAGGGTCTTGGCCTTCGCTGCAGCCAGCCAACTGGAGGATGGAGGGGGGCTGAAATCTTGATCAGCCCCTAGTTGCAACATTGCAGATCCAGGGTGTGCTGTGTGAGCATACCCGGATGGATGATGATGATGATCTAGGGTTGGCTGAGATCTTGATCAGCCACCCTACTGCCACAGTCACACAACCCCCTAGCCCGGGGGAAATCTTGAGTTGCTGCAAAGTTGTTGCTGCAGCAGTAGAGAAATAGTAAAATAATAATAATAATCTGCGTAGCATCGGGCTCGGGCTCGGTGACCGAACCCGAACGCACGGTACCGAGCCCGAACGTGACCCAAAATTGACCGAGCCCGAACATTTTTATTTGTTTTTTTTTTTTTTTTTATATATATATATAGGGGTTGGGTGGCCTTGGGGGCC